AAATAATTCACGTGACAAAGAGACATTGAACTAATTAAAATTTCCATCTATTTATAGATTTTTTAATAATGTAAAATGAAAAAGAACTTAATTAAATTTTAAGTTTCTTTTGAATATTTTAATTAAATTTCTATTAAATTACATTAAATTTATTTTCATTGAATATTTAAAAATTATATATTTTTTAATTAAGTATATTTTATCTAATGTTTACGTGAGTTGAGTGTTATTGTTATATTGTTATATAGTTATATAGTCTTAATTACTTATCTCTTTAGGTGGTTAATATAAAATAATAATAAAGATTGTGATTTTCATCTATATCAATGATAACAATGAATACAATATCTTGATTACGATAGGTGATGACATATAACTTATTGTGTTGAAGATTTCATATTGATTAAAAATAAGACAAAATTATAATATATAAGTATTTATAAATTATAGAAACCAAATTTGGTAGGATTTAGTTAGACCTAAGGATGACTATGGTGTGAAGTAGGGATAAGTTTCATTATCTCATCTCCATTTGTGAAGTAAAAATTCATACACATATCTATCGTTATATCCAACGAATATAAAACTTTTGTCTCATGTTCATCCATATTGAGTAACTGAAACACAAGAAAACACTAAAAATGGAGGAGGGTTTAAGTGTTTTAAAACTTTTTCGCAAAATAACATTTAACAACTTTTGCAGGGGTTAGACAATCTGCAATAGATATTAGACGCTTATGTGATTAAAACGTTTTTTGGAAAACATTTATACAACAGAACAATAACACATGATTTTTATACTAGTTTGCCCCAATTCAAGCTAGGTCTAGTTCTCCCTTAAGACCTCTTTAGGGATTCCATTAATCTTTAATAAAGATTACACGAGTATCAATCACTCTTGGTTTAAATGAGTATTATCAACCATTATTAGTTTAAATCGAGTATTATCAACCATTATTGATATACAACAAGTATTATCAACTACTTTTAGTATGAACGAGTATCAACCACTCATGGTATACAACAAGTATTATCAACCACTTTGGTATCAACGAATATCAAGCACTCTTAGTATATAACAAGTATTATCAATCGCTCTTGGTTTACACTAGTCAACCTCACTAGATCGTTTAGCTCACTTGAGCTAAAAAAACAAGTATTTTGATTCACTTCTGAATTTATAAAGACAATCAAGGTGTTTTTGAGTACAAATACAAATTCAAATAGCTCTCAAGAAAATGATAGATTCAACCCTGTGAAATTTGAAAACTTGAAAAGACTTTCTCTTTAGATGAAAGCGTTAGACGATATAGTGAGACAACGTAACAATAGACTTGTTTATATGCATGTATTCTATTGGTCTTCTTTTCATGCAATCATCTATATATAGCCTTCTTCGAGAGAGATTTGTTAGACTAAAAGTTAACTTCTATGTAGACTTCATAGCCTTTTTAGGTAGGTAGTCAAGCTTAGGTCTACGTGTTGGAACAATCGGTACCGTTATAGAATTTTGCACAGCGGAATAACTTATAAAGCGGAAAGCGTGTTCAGTCAAACTCTTAATAAGATGGTCAGTTTTAGAAATTTAATTTTCTTAGAGACAAATTTCCAAACCGTTGATGTACGTACAATAAAATAAGTATAGGGAATAAGAAGAACAACACAGAATTTTTATCCTGGTTCGAATCAAAAGATTCTACGTCCAGTCGTTAATCACTATAAATAGTGATTAACCTTTTTCACTAAAAATTGTTTAACAGATTACAAGATAATGAACAATAAAAATGAATAGAACTACTCTACCAACTTGAAGAGAACCACTTCAGCAATCGACCAACGATTCACAAGCTTCTCCTTTCACAAGACCAGGCAGAGCACCTTGCTAACTTGAAGAGAGTCTGCTCCGACTATCGATACGCGAGCCTCTCCTTTCACAAGACCAAGCAAGGGAACAATGAACAAAAAGCTTTCTGAGAACGTTCCTCTGACACACAGTGTTCTAAGCTTTCTCAGTTCAAAAACAACGTTAACGTTCTAATTTCTCCAAAACAAAATATATAGCCAAGTACACTGAATGCCAAAGGTCAGCTCCCAACTGCCATGAATAATCGATTATTGTAAGTGATAATCGATTATTCAAGTCCGTTATAGGTTTTCAAAAATGTGATAATCGATTATATGAAGTGATAATCGATTATTCAAGTATGACTTGTGATAATCGATTATTGCTTCATCATAATCGATTATTGTAGTTAAAAATGTAAGTTTACAAGGTTTACAAAAATTTCCTACTACATTTAATTTCTACAAATTGCTTTTAACTAATTCTAATATCTTCTGCAACTAAAACTTCTTGTAACATCATCAAAACAAATTTCTTCAAGATTTACCAATACTCCTTATTGGTAACACTACGTTGTAGAATTATTGTGCTTTGTCAAAGCTTTTACAAAAGTAGCTTGTACAATTCTACAAAGCTTGGAGCTTTAAGGAAACGTTCCCATAATTTCTTCCTATCTCTTAACATCTTTATTCTTCTCATGCAGGAATTTTAGTAAAGGTTTTGTACTTTCATTACCTGCACAAATAAAAAGAACAAGGCATACACAAGAAAAGATGTGTTTTTTCGTACATGCATAAAATATTTTAAACGTTGATAAATGTTAAGCCATATTGCGTGTTTAAAACTTATTGGCACATGTCAACTTGTTTGATAGGAGCATTGTTTAGGAAGTAAAGTGTTTGATATATGATATTTAGACGATGTAAACTGCTAAACGCTTATTTATAAAACTGTTTAAGTTTCATTGCATCATTTAGTAAGCTTTTCCTAGATGATTATTTTCTTTAAGCACTTATTTGTTCAACACTGTTTGTATATAAGATTTTAAACTTCAGTGTGTTATAAAGCGTACACTTAGACGTTTCCTTTAGACGTTGTTTGTTAAACATTGCCTGTTAGACGATATATGCTGGAAAACACTATTTTCATAAGACGTTATAAATGCTATTTTCATTTAATGTTGGTTTGTATTAATAAACGCTTATTTCATTCAACATTGTGTTTAATAAATACATCCTTTAGACATTTCATTCAATAAGCGATATTTCGTTAAGTATTGTATGTTAAACTTCAAAACATGAGTTTAGATAGTTTAGTCTCTCTAGACGATCTTGACTTAACAATAATGGGTTACTCGTACCCTTGCCCATATCCACTTTATTACAATTTCAACATCAATTCATTAATTTTTATAAAAAAATAATATTATCAAATATTCAGTATCAAAATAACATATTCAATATCAAATATGTATAAACAAATGATAATTAATGGTATAATAAGATAGAAAATACATTGAAAATTGGATATTTGAGAAAACTTTTGAGATATGAAACTAGTTGAAATGTTATAGATAATCTAAATTGTTTGAGCAAAACAAAACGTTTAAAAAAAAATAATGGTCAAATAGAATAAATATAGGTTTTTTTTTAAAATTATTACCAAGTAAATAAAGGGTTCACGCTATTAAATTAAAGTCAAGAGAACTAAATATTTTCATGAGAAAAAATAAATAATAAATAAAATTACTAAAAATAAAAAAAATCAAATATGATACCTAAAAACTATTTGATTCACTAGAAATAATAATACACTATTTGAACATAACTACATAAATAAAAAAAAATGTGTAAGAAAGATTTTGATAGGAGGGAAAGTACTTTGGAGATTTGAATGAATTTTATGGATATAAAATAACTCAACCTATTAGAAGAGAAAAGGAAAAAGTATGTAGGTGAGAAGAAAAGAAATTAAGAATATATATATATATATATATATATATAATAGGGTTAAATATGTTTTTAGTCCCTAAACTATTGACCGTTTCTGGTTTTCGTCCCTCTTCCAAAGTAAGGTACAATTTAGTCCTCAATCTTTAAAAAACGTTCGTTTTAGTCGAAAAATTTTGTTTTTAGTCCTCGTTTTTCTAAAGAATGAGGATCAAATTGTACCTTACTTTGGAAGAGGGACGAAAACCAAAAACGGCCAATAGTTTAGGGACTAAAAACATATTTAACCCTATATAATACTCATTTTGTTCCAATTTTAGTTGAAAAGCTACAAATAGGTCCTATTTCTGTTTTTGTTCTAATCAAATCTTAATTTTTGAAAAATTAACTTAATTAAGTTTTTTCTATTTGTTAATGATATTAAAGACATATCATATTTATAGTTTTTTTTTTTGTGTTTTTAATTAAATTTTTCAAAAAAATTTGTTGTCCACAGGTTAATAGCGTGGCCCAGCACAGACATAACACGTGGACAAAAAATTTAAATTACATATATCCATACTCTCACTTAATCAATATAGTCACTTAACAATCATTTAAAAACTTATTTTTGTAAAATTTATTGTTGAACTTATCGTAACACTTACTATCAAGCTGCTATTGAAGTATCATAAATATTTAATATTAAATCCAAATATATATGTGAGAAATTATATTAAAGATTTTACGTTAACTAGAAATAAAATAAATTTATCCTATAATGTGAATACAAATCTGAATCTATAAGTTAATGTATAAAATTAAATGAAATTTAAAATCAACTTATTAACGTATCAAATAAAATAATAATTTTATAATTCTTAGTTTCAATAAAACAATTAAATTCAATCACAATGTTACATTAACAACATTTGATATTAATTATAAATTCTTATATTTCTTAATAAGTAAAAGTAAATAATTAGACAATATATAACCATCTTCTAACGTAATCAAAGGATGGAATAAAATAAAATAAAACTCAATTTAAAATTATAAAAAAATTTGATTACTTAATATACATAAAATTCTATTTATAAAAATCAATAATAAATATTCAAAATTTAGAATGTTCTTGAATTTTAGTTAACCCTAATAATAATCAAGTTGGTTTTTCAAGTTAGTTAAAAATGTGACAAAGTGATGGTTAAAGAACTTGCATAGTAATCATCGAAACTGAACTTGTAAAATGTGATCCAAACGAAAGTGTTTGAATTCTCCTATGCATTCTCCATCAACCCTCATTGCACCATTTTACCCTTTTCGTGTCTTCTCATATTTCTCCTCACACCCACACCGTCTTTGGTCTCAACGCCTCTAACCTTATATTCTCATATCCACCCACATAATCATTCTCACCTTCTTCGCAGATCACGCACTCCTTTGGGAATACAAAAAGGAAAGTCTGGTTTTTGGTTCGTGGGGTGGTTTCGAAATGGCCTCATTCTCGGTCCCATGCCCCAAGTGCCCTTCTATTTCATCTCCCTCTCCTGGGTTCAAATCCCAACTTGTTCCATTTCAAAGTGGGTTAGGCTTCAAGCCTTTTCTATCATTCAGATCTTTGCCTGCTGAATCTGCATCATCTAGGATTCAGGTATGAATGTTCATCTCTATCTATCTATATATCTATGTCTATAGCTATCTATAAGAGACAGAGAGGAAGAGAATTATTTTGTCTGTGAATTTGTGTTTGTTGTGATTGAGGTTTTGAGCATCTATTGTTTTTAAGGATGACACATTATATAATAATCCGAAAAACAAATCCTCTTTGTTACTTTAATAGTGTAAATATTTTGCTTGATTCTTTTATCTTAGTTGTAAGAGGAGAAATGATACTTATATCAATGATTTCTGGATGACACATTATGTAATCCACAAAAAAAACATATAATTTCTTCTCTGAATATGTTAATGTTTTGTTCAATTGATTTTGGTTGTAAATCAAGAAAGGATACCTTTACCAACTAATAAAGGATGGCACATTGTGTAATCCACACAAAAAATATTTTTTCTCTGATTATTTTAGTACTGTTAGTGTTTTTTTCAATTGATTTATTTTAGCGATAACGATGATAAGATACCTATGTCAATGATTATCCTTACTGTTTCTGAATGTTCGTGGAAGAATGAGCATATTGAATTTAGTGCTGAGTCAAAGTTAAGACAATACTATACAATTACACAAAAACATAACAAGGCTTTGTTAGACACAACGGCAAATAGCATTCAAATATTGGGCTTGTTGGCCGATTTGCCATAATATGATTAAAATTATAGAAATTATAAATTGTCAATTGAAACACTTCCCGATTGTAGATAGGGTATGATTCACTGAATAAATAACAAAATGGTCAAAAGCTTCACAGACATAGTATTTGAAAAAGGGAATGATTTTATTATTTTCATTCAATGACAATTACATTCTCTTTACCTGTGCTTGTAGCAATCTAATCTTCTAAAAAAGAGAAATAAGAAAACAATGTACTAAAAAATAATCTAGAAGATTATACACTTATTTTCTCTAATTAAGAAGATTCTATAGATATTTCTTCTAATTACAACAATAGTTTCCTCTCATTGATTAATTAATTATTCTATTGTTATTCGTTGTTTCTTGCAGTGTGCTAACAGGAAGCAATTTTCTGTTCTGAAGGTCAGTTTACACTGAGTCCTTTGTTTTCTTTTTTTCAGTTCACACGAGTTTTATTATGAATTAAATGTTATCCTCCTGTTCAAACGTGTTCTTGATTGATTCAGAAAATTTTACCATAAGCCACCCTGCTTTGTATATTGTAGGCTGCTAAAGTTGAAAATTCTAATTCTAATTCTGCCCCTGTAACTGTCAAAGAACCTAATGTTGCGTCATCAAAAGAAAAAGATGTGCCTAATGGAAAACACTCTGGGGGCACTGTAGCAGATGAAGCTTCAATTACTGCATTCATCTCTCAAGTTTCAGACCTTATAAAGTAAGATTTCACTTTTTTTAATGCAATCGCTTGTTTTTTTGTATTTATCATGTCTCTTGTTAGGGTGTTCTTTGTTTCCAAAGATTCAATTTAATACCATTTCCATGGCTAGACTTGTTGATTCAAGAGATATTGTGGAACTTCAACTTAAGCAATCAGATTGTGAGCTCATGATTAGAAAGAAAGAAGCACTGCAGCCTCCACCGGCCCCAGCATCACCACCTCCGATGCACTATGCTGCATTCCCACCACCGCCGCCAGCAGCACCTGCAGCTGCTCCTACTAGCTCCCCACCTCCAAAAGCAGTGCCTGCCTTACCTGCCCCTGGAAAAGCAAGCTCATCTTCTCACCCACCGCTGAAAAGTCCAATGGCAGGAACTTTCTACAGGAGTCCAGCACCTGGTGAACCGCCATTTGTCAAGGTTTGTTGACACACACAATATAAGTACCATTCTCTTTATTTTCTGTTGAGGTGTCATTTTGCAAATGATGATTTATGAAGCTAATTGTTGCCATGTTTACTTAGTTAATCAATGAAGAGACCAATTATTTTTGCTGTTGCTTCAGGTGGGCGATAAAGTGAAGAAAGGTCAGGTTATTTGCATTATTGAGGCTATGAAACTGATGAATGAAATTGAGGTGTGTATATTTCCTTTCCAATTAGGTATAGTATATTATTACATTTTTTATTCTTCTCTTTTAACTATGTTGTTTACTTCATGTTTTCCCATATAACTTGGTATATTTGTTCCACTCTAAAGATTATCCTTCCATATATAGTACTATATACAGAAATCTGTGTTACAAAAATCTGGCAGTTAACAAATCTATAAGCACAGGCCTGATAGTGCTGCTCAAACTAGCTACTGTATTGCCACCTGTTTCAGCTGCATTAATTTCAGCTGCATTAACAGTTAACACACTAATCATATGAGAAATCCTAATTCAATACCATTATTATATTATATAAAAGTCTTGGTTGAATACAGTAGGACATTTTTATGGATTAAGATACTCTCCTCTTTACTTTAACAAGGAGAGGTCCTATTTAATAAATTCTAACAACTCATTACGCTTATTACTTAATCTATCGTTGAAATACAAGTCAAATAGAACTATGAGAGAAGAATGGGCATGCATATTTGTTTAGTTGGTTAGTTGGTTTTTAATTTAACTGTATTATGATTTATTAAACAAGACTCTCTTGCTGCAGTAATCAGGAGAGAATTTAAATCCCTTTTTATCAAAAGAGAGTCTTTTAAAACGTTTAAAATTCTAAAGTAATACACTCCCTAAATACATGGATTGCAATAGGAGTGGTATGAAGGGATTATGGTACAAGTAAACTATGTGGTGGTGGTGAACATTGCAAAGTATGGTGAGTAATTGGTTTTAGGAGATAAATGAAAAGGAGAGTCATTCCGAGTGTTTTATTATGAAAATCTTCTTAACATGGAAGAAACATGACCCTCTAAGAGCCTATTGGATTCACAATTTTCCACTGTAATGTAACGATTCTCCTTGAGAAACAGTTTCTAGTAGCCTGAAACCAGATCCTCTAATATATTGGTTATCTTCATTACTTGTTGACAGGCTGATCAGTCAGGAACAATAGCTGAGATATTGATTGAGGATAGCAAGCCAGTCAGTTTAGAAACGGTATTCTCTCTCTACCTTTTGTGTATGTGTACACGTGCATGTTTGTATAGAATATACATGCTTCATTCCTTTAACTCATACTTTGTGTTTCATGCAGCCTCTTTTTGTAATAGTTCCATGAGTACCAGAAGGGAACATTCTTCGAAGATGAAGTGAAATCTCCCTCGTTGGATAGCATGGTATTGAATGACTTCGATTTTCAGTTCAGAAATTTTATGAGTGATAATTTCTCATTTGAGAAATCCTTGCCTGCTTAAGCCCCCACCTCTTCTCTTAATCTGTTGAGATATTTTGGACATAAAGCTCCAGCATATCAGAATGAACATTATTGGACATTTAGTTCTTTGCAGTTTTGACATTTGTCGTATTATTATTAATGTTTTCTTTCTTCTGTTTTTTATGGGACCCTCTTTCATGCTGTATAAACCTGCTGGATGGATTTTTGTGTTAAAAGTAATTTGCTATAGATCTTTCTATGGTCACACAGATACTTTATATTCAAAACAAGGTTCATTCTTCTTACACCCTTTTTTATTTAGAAACGGCTGAGTTCACACAGGGTTCGTCCTTCCCACCAAAATCAGAACTTTAAATCTACAAAAAAAAAAAACTAATTTTCTTTTTGCAGTCAAAACCCACAAACAGAACACCGATCACAATCACCTTTTCTCCATTAGAATCCACCAAAAGA